TGGTGTATATATTTTATGTAATTTATCTAACTCACTTAAATTAAAAACATATGATAATCCATTATTAATATTGATATTATCAATTTCAAAACAATCTAGGTTATTTAATTTGTAAGACTTATATACTGGTTTAAATTTATTGATATAATTTTTAATAATATTATTATTTTTTATTTTTAATAATCTAACATCGCCTAAACTATAAGATAATACTATGTCTTTAATTTCTATTGGTAAATCATAAAATATCATATAATATTAATATATATTTAATTATTTAATATATATTAATTAGGTATCATTCGTTGATTTAAATTTTTATAAAACATTTTTTCTTTATCAGATTCCATCATATTAATAAACATAAAACTATGTTTTTCATCGGTGGCTGTGTGATACAATTGTAATAATGTTTGTTTATCATATAAAGCGCTAAGTTCATCTATTATAGAATCTAGATCTTTCTGATTCCTTAATCTATATACATATAATTGGGTTGCGTTTTTTCTAACTACCGGATTCAATAATGTATAAGATTGACACGTTATAAAAGTAGAAATAAAATAATGTCTACCTTTGACAAACAATCGTACAAGTTCTTTATTTTTTCTAGCAACATCTTTGTTATCGCTAAAATCATCTATAATAATAGCAATATTATAAATTTTTGAAAAATCTTTATCTTTCATATATTTTACTATTTTTTCTTGAGTATCAATAATATTTCTCATTTGTTCTTCATTAAATGTATCAAAATATACGGGATCATCTTCAGTATGATTTATTTTTAATTTGTTTGATATATAATCTTTTACTGTGTCCCAGTTATTATCTAAATGTATTGTCGGACTAAAAATAAATATTTTTTCAAAACAATCACGATAAACATTTAATATTAAATTAGTTAATGTGACCGTTTTACCAACGCCCGATGGCGCCGCGAATATTTGTCTCGCAGGTAACTTACCTACATGATCATGTCGTGATTGTTTACTATTATATTCTTTAGTTTTGTACGGTTTGATATCAATCATAAATAATATTATAAATACTTATAAAATAATAAAATATAATATACTTATATCATAATGACAATAGAATCTATTAATTTAAGTGAAGTGGCTAGTATTCGGAGGATATATAAATTTGGTGATGTCTTAGTTCCAGATACTGTACAAATATATTATGATACGATGTTATACTTTTTATCTGGAATTAAAAATTATAATATCGTAGTATCCAAGTCCGCAATTGAAAATGACAATAACCTAGATTTTAATTTTAGAAAGTTAGTAAATTTTATGAAAGATTATTCTAATATATATACAAATGAAATGATAAATAGTGTACAAGAAGTTATTAATAATAATATTCTAGATGTTGATATGCTAACTGCACTAAAACTTACTAAAGCTAAAGAAAATAATTTAAATAAATATTCTATTTAATATTAATGGACGCGAGGAACGAGCCTCGCGTGCTAACGCGACCATCATTATGTTATGAGTGGCGGTGAATAACATAATGGAACAGGTTTCCATTGCTTCAATCAGTAAGCATTGAAGCTAATTAGTTTGTATCTCTCTCGCGTGCAATGAAAACCCCAAGTGCTGTGCCCTCCGAATATTCTATCATGCATGAAAATAATAAGATTAAATAATTTAAATAATTATTTTATCTTATTATTATATGACTGTTATCCATTGCAATTGTTGTAAAACTTATGATGACAAATATTTATTTAAACATCTAAATTCAAAACATCATCAGAAATTTGTAGAATATAGATGGAATAAAGAAGATACAATGAAAAAACTTTACAAGAAAAGAAAGACAGAAATTAAAAATAATTTATCTTATTATTTAATATGAAAAGGAGTTATTCAGATTATATTAATATAATAGATGAAATGGAGAATATAGAACAAGTACTAATAACTGATAATAGATGTAAAAAATATGTTATTTTATTTTAGAATTAATTAAGTTTTTGATACAATATATTAAAAATATAAATATTAATATAAATGCCAAAAAAGAAAAACAAAAAGAATAAGATAGGTTTAAGTGTTTCTTCAACAGATGAAGATAGCGGAGAAATTGTTAAAGAAACATCAGTATTTGAGATTGCTTGTCCTATGTGCAAAAAGATGTTAGAACTTAAAAATGAATTAGAAATAAAAAATAATAAATCATGTAAATGTTCATGTGTTCCAACAAGTTTCAAAATAAGTAAAAATGATAAGAAAATGAATATTGATAAAACTAAAGACAGTATCAACTTAGAAACTGATGTCCATAGTATAACTTTTAAATGGGGTAAGGATGCATCACTCTCGGATAATAATGAAAACGAAACGCAGGAAACTATTAAACAAATCATGAAAAATTAGTATTTAAAGAGTAGATTTAACATAATTGCACTTTATAAATATAAATAAATAAATATTTAAATAAATATCTAATTATTTATATAATCATAATGCCAACTGTGAATGGACAAGACCATAGAATTATTACTTTTGACAATGAAGAAATTAATGATATATTCGATGGTGATAAAAACTTTGCTAGACAATTGAGTATAGAATATTTTTATTGGTTAGATGCTAAATTTAATAATAAATATTTTATGAAAGGTATAACTAAACCAGATAAATTTGATAAAATGTTAAAGTTTTTTGAAATTACAGGTAACGATGAAGGTTTAATAAAATTGAAAAATAAAATTGATGAAAGACTCTTAGAATATAATTTATTTACATATATAACATTAAATTATTCAGGTAAATTATATAATAAAACGTATAATTAAATAAATAATTATCTAAATAAATATATAGTAATGTCTGAAAATGAGAATTATACTATTAATGATTTAATGAAGAAGATAACATTAATTGGTAAAAATATTAAAACCTTAAATGATATGATTAAATCCATTGATGACAAAATGAAACCAGTTGAACGCAATGAAGATAAAGAAAAAATCGAAAAGATATTTCAAGCAAAATCTATAGGAAGACCAACGGGTGATTATCCTACAAAGCAAAAGAAATATTGTGATATGTTGAATACAGGAAAAATCAAACAACCTAAAAGCACCACTTTAGAATTTTATAAAATTTCAAAAAATGATGATGGAGTATATGTATTATTTGAATAAATAATATCTAAATAATTCTAATAAATGAATTTATTAGAATTATTTAGCAAGAAGACCTATACAAAATACCTAGCGAATTAATTTGTGAAATCTTAGTGAGTTTGACGGATTAAGGATTTTGAGTTTGGGGTTGGGCTTGCAACTTGAGCACATGCAATTGCAATGAACCAAACCACCACCTATTTTGATAAAATCGGGGAATGATTTTGATAAAATCGGGGAATGATTTTGATAAAATCGGGGAATGATTTTGATAAAATCGGGGAATGATTTTGATAAAATCGGGGAATGATTTTGATAAAATCGGGGAATGATTATAACATTTATACCCTTATATGTTATAATTATAATGTAAAATGACTTAAAGGAATAAATACTTAATATAATAAGAGGACAATGCCAATGCTAGGAGTGACAGAAAAAGAGCTGGAACAGGATAGAAAGATAATATTGAGTTTCATTAAGGATAATCCCTATCCATCGTATAAACAAGTCATTGAAATAATTAAAAACGATAAAACAATTAAAGATATATATCCAGATATGTTCGCTGAGTATGGAGAACAAAATCATCAATGGATAAAAGAGATTTACGAAAACATAATGAAAGAAGAACTCGTTAAACATAATGGTAATAGTATTAATGAAAGAGGAGGAACGACAACAATGCATTGTAATTATTATACTTTGATATCAGTGTTGCGTTATTTAATACAACAAAGAGCACCAATGAAAGATTATGACGTTAACTTAATCTGGTATAATATCAGGAACATTTTGAGCAGTTCTTGGAACAACATAGGAGACTGGAAACACTAAAAACAGGTTTAATCATACTATGATTATCACATGTAAAATATTATATGTTATAATTGTATTATATTTATCGTTTTTAAAGATTGAATTATTATAATTTGCTTATCTCTTTCAAAGTGCGTTGTTTAGACTTGGCATGCTTCTTCAATTTTTTCGTGCTTTTGCTGTTTGTTTTTGTTTTGTTTGATGCTCTTGTGATATTTTTTGTTGGTATGTTGCTTTGATTTTTGTTGATGTGTGTTTTTGAGTTTGGGTTCTTTGATGATTTATAGTGTTGCTGTTTTGTTGGTATGCTTGTTTGAATTATTTAATGTTGCATGCTGTGATTAAATATTTTTGTTGCTGGTTGTGATTATTTATTTTGTTTGCTTGTTGTTCTGGATTTTGTTTTCTGTTTGTTGTGTTGCTGATGGAGAAAAAAATAGTAAAAGTAGAATTCTTTGAATTCCCCTTTTACTATTTTTGGGGGAGGTATGGGGGAGGGGGAGGGGGAAATCTAGAATTTCCAGAAATTCAGAAATCAAGAGATCCAGCAATCCAGAGATCCAGAAATCCAGAAATCCAGAAATCCAGAAATCCAGCCGACGTAGAAACCAGCCCCAAGGGCCGCCCCAAGGGACATATAGGTTATATATATATATATACATAATCATATTCACATTAAACTTATAGAAAGCATATCAACAAAAGCAACACAGAACACACCGCCCCCATGCCGAAAGCATGGTCCATTCTGGACCAGGCATGGGGTCGGCGGATTTAGCCTCAGGATCATGTGAGTGCATTTGCTTCTTTCCATAGATCATGTATCAAAGACGGTTTCAAACAATGTCAACTTTGCAAATCGCCAGCTACTGCAGAAGCTTTTGAGCACCAGGGTAAAATTCGAGCTCCTGGGTTTTGAAGCCCTCATGGCCAATCATTGCATATGGGAGTGCCCTTTTTTTGTGGGTGCCACTTTTTTGGGTGGTTTTCAAGGAGAACGTCAAGTTCAGCCCTGCTTCGTTCGATATCTCAGGCGCACCTGCGGCCGAGGCGGGGCAATCTATTGAGAGTTTGTCTGAACTCTTCGTTCCTGTGTTTCGTTGCTTGGCCCTTGTGTTCTTTGAGGTTCTTTGAAAGGACTGATTCAGGTGTCACCCCCATTCTCCGACTTCGGATAAATCCGGGGCTGGGGATCCCTGCTTTTCCAGCCACACTCATGGTCCCAAATCTGATGCCCGGGCCTTTGCTATGGGGGGGAGGGATGCAGAACCACTGGGGTCAACCAAATCTGACCGAGAAAAAACAGTGTCGTCTCCTCTTATTACCGGCATCCTTGTACTCCTCGTATGCCCTTATCGTTTCATTGCATGGGCCGGCTGTGTGCTTTGGATCCCTCAACTTATCCAGACAAATCAGAGGTGGATCGATTTGTAGGGGCACCTCTGAGTTGCACGGTCCGCGAGGATCATCCGAAGTGAGCCCAAAGAACGGTTTTAGAGTGAAAGATTCCCTTCCTGCCAATCTGCAGGAGGGATGAAACCTAAATGCGCGAATCGCGCTCCGTACTTTCACCGGTTTGTTGTCTCGATTGAGCCAACTGGCTCCCTTGTTTGGTGGGCTTTCCACTCTCAATTCATTGGATCCTAGTGCACCCCTACCCCCCCCCCACCCCCAAATGAAACGGGTCACCGGGCAACTGCAGTGCAGCGTGCCAACCTTCTTCCGCCGGGAGCAACCTCGTTGGCAAAGGGCGGTTTTCCTTCTTGCTGGTGCTCAGTAGGGGGAATGAACCAGAAGGGTTTCCCTTGAAAGAAACTGAATTGGGGGTGGTAATTCCATTTCTCACTCCCTGCCTATCGAACCGGCAAGAATTCCTCCTTTCTAGGCCCTCGTTTTGCATTCGCAAAGCCGATTGGTTTTCTTTGGCTGCTCGGGGCTTTCCTGCACGACTTCTATGATACAACAAGAAGGGCTTCCCAAAGGCTAACCCCCCATAGGCGGAAGATTCCCACAAGTACTTGTATCACAGAAGTGGGGATAAAAACAAATAGATCCCACAACCTCTGGCTCCAGGGGTCGACCGACCCCCACCCCCAATTCCATCCTAGTTTTGCAGAAACTTGAGATTTCAACAAGGGGATTTCTGGATCATTTTTGGGGATCGTTTCCCACACCCCTATGGCAGCATATGGCAGCCCATTTTCCATTTGGGGAAGACTAGGGTCCCGCCCCTCCCCCTCAGCGCGGGAGCTTCAGGCCGATCTGGAAATCTCCAACAAGCGTGCCAGCGTCACGGTGCCTTGGCAATGGGCGAAGCTCGAGGCCAGCTTTCAACAATTCACTCCCCGAGACCCTGCACGTTAGTCTCATTTTGGGTTTGGACCATTTGTGGTTACTCTTTTTGGCCCATTCACTCAGGAAGCGAGGCAACAAACGGTTCATTTTTGTGCCGGTGTACGTCCACGAAAGGCGCCAGCCAGCTGTTTATATTTCGGCCCCTGTGGCAGTGTAGACTTAGAGTTGTGCATCCAATGTGTGCATTCATATTGTCAGACGGTGCCCTTTTCAGCTTGGTTGAGAGGTCAAGGAGCAAGAGCAGCCACCTTAGGGCCAGCTATTTGACATACGCCCAAGGGTTGTTTCCAGAGTTGAGACTGGTTCAGAGGGCCCCGTTTGATTGGCGGAACTCAAGCTTTGTCATGAGCTTCAGCCTGGTAAAGGTCCCAGGCAGGTCCTCCCTTTCAGCTTTCAGGATCGCGGCTTGGACGCCTTCGGAATCAGATGGATTCCAGTGGTTTGGATTGGTTTGACGCCATTTAATTTGCCATGACCATGTATTTGTCCCAAAAGCTCGCTGATGTTCGGAACATGTTGATATGGCTGGTGGGAAGCCTTTCCGAAATGCCAATAAAATTGGCAACCTATATTGGGCATTCCAGGAAACACAGAGGGTTGGACCAGTTGTTACTGGATAGATATACACGGAATGAAAGGAGACAGGCAGCAAGCGCCCAAAAGGCAGTTAAAGCTCGTCCTTCAGCGTCAGTAGGCCGACCAAGGCTTTTGGCACTGCTTTTCGCCTTTTGCCTTGGACATGGATGCTCCGCCTAAACATATAGAAACGCTTGTGAAGCGAAATTGGTACGGGTTTTGTGGGTTGGCAAAAAGCGGGGTTTTGAGGGCGATTTTTTGTTGGATTGGGTGTACTTAAAAAAAAAGGGGTTCAGCAGCAGAACCAGCAGTTTCGCCGACCGGAGCGCTAAAAGTCAATAAAGTGTTTCTCCAGCTACCTCGTCGAATGCCCAAAACAGAGCTTGCCTTGTTCAGAACAAATCCTCAACCCTGGTGTCCAAATCCCGGCAAATTTGCATGGGCCCGAGAAACCTTCAACAGGATCCCGCAAGTGCCTCGGGAGCTCAGCTCCTTTCAGTGAGGTTGATCCATCGGCCTTCATTGTTTATTTTTGTCGCTCCTCTAGCCTGCAACCCGTTTTGTTGAAGCAGTGGCAACTGCTTCAGAGCTAGAGGCCCCTTCACAAAATGGTTGTACACTTCAAAAGCTCGGTTCTTGAATCAAAATCCGGGGTTTCAAAATTAAACCCAAAGTTTTCAATCAGAATGCGTCAAAAGACAGGTTCCCAAAAAAGACCGACCAATTCGCAGCTTCTTGGTTCTCTAGGCTGAAGCAAGACGGTTATACACCTGCAATGGTACGCAGAGATGTCCTGAAAAGTAGGGTCTTTTGAAAAACCCGGGGTTTGCAGGCAAACGCCGGGGTTTTCAGGCAAAAGCCGGGGTTTCTCAGTGAGCACATACTTCGCGCCCTAAAGGCTACAGCTTAACAATCAATTGTAGCAGTGCAGAATCAGAGAAGAGTACGCGGGGCGCGACTTCGAGGGGCGAGAAGAAACCAATGTGCTACGATGCTTGCGTAGCATTCTGCAGGTTTCTTATAAGCATTGCATGGATGTTGGATACATCAAGACAAAATGACCTGTGAAAACAGCACACAAATATATGTCTCGCTCCAGGTTTGCACTCGTTGAGCTTGTGGGCAAGTTGTAATTAGCAAGGTATCCTAGAAACTTGATAAATGGGTTCCAGCAAAAACGGCTTTTTGAGTGGGACCAACGTTTTTGCGGGGTTTGATTTTTTCGGCCCTGGGGATGCCAAAAGGGATGTGGAAGAACTGGAGCTCGGTCGGCTTTGGGCTAAATCGGTTGATTTGCTGGACTGTCTAGGGCCTTGGTTCACGCCAGTTTAAATTGGGCTGGTGAAACCTGGACCAGAAGCTTATAGTAGGTGTGTTGTATTGTTTGGGTACCCTCTTTTTTATTGGTTGGTTAAAAAAGACAATGGTCCAATTGTTTGTCCAAATGGATGGTATCTAAATATTTGTAGTTGAACGGTCAAGTATTTTGCGCAAGCAATGCGCGCAAAAAGATGGATTTGGTGGGCGATCCATTTCCCTGAATAAAAGATTGGAACTGGCGGACCCACCCTCGTTCCCTGCCATTCCCCGGGACAGGTTTGCTTCCAGAGTTGCTCTTGAGCTGTTTTGCACCCTTTGCTTCCTTCCCATTCCTGTACCTGCAGGTGGATTTGCGTTTCTTGGTGGCTCCCAGCCATCCGGTTCCTTAGCTTTTTAGCCTTTTAGTGTTTAGTGGTAGTTGTCCTTTAACCCACTAAAAAATGTTCACTTTTAGCGGGGGATCTGAGGGCAGCCCAGGTTTTTTGTTTGCCGCCAGCGGGAGGGCCTGATCATGTCGCGCCCCATCGGCTCAGGACTGGTACGACGAGAACTCCGCGAGCCCGCAGAAGTTGCAGAAGTCCACGACGCCTCGCAGAAGTCGGCGCCAGTTTCTTTGGTTGGGTGAGTTGTTTTTCTTTTTTGTTTTTGTTCTTCTCATGTTTCTAGGGGTTGATTCCCAATTCTTTTCAACCATCGTTCTTTTCAAAAACCGGATCTGTTGCCCCTGCGTTGTGGTGTTTTTTGAGGGATTTTTTTGAGTCGGTTGTGGTTGTCAAAACCGTTTTGATCCCATTTTGGTTGGTAGGTGAATTCACCACCCATTTTAGAACCTATTTCAGGGGGGATTGGGATGTTCACCCCTTTTGACCCATGGCCATTCTTCACATGTTGGCTTCAGGGCCAGGGGGAAGTTGTGTGTTTCAAAACGCCTATTTGTTGGGAACGTGATCTTTCGCCATGTGTTGGCTTACCGCCCACCTTTCAGTTTCCCGTGGCCCAACCTTTGAATTTTCGTTGGGCCGGCCATTGGGAAGTGTTTAGCTGAACCCTGAGTGGGTCGGAAACGAACTCTTGCTTAACTCAGTTGCCCAAAGCGAATTGACCTGAAACAACATTTTGGTTTTCATTGTTCGGTTCCTTCTTGGTCATGGCCCCAAAAGGTGACCACCTTTTAGGTCCAGGTCCTTTGTGCAAGTAAGTACATATCGACGCGCACACACCGTTCTGAGATTGGCCGAGCATGACAAAATTTAGGTGCTGATCACTGCCGTTCTTCCCTTTGAGTTGTGCAACGCATGACCACCAGCGAGCCATCACAGCGCCTAGAATTGCCCAGCTGTCACTGGCACCTCCTTTCAACTTTTGTTTGATGGCTTCCCCACTTCCCTAACGGGATCACCGAACCGTTGTGCATTGCCGTCCTTCCCTCGCCGACCCTCTTGCGGACCCTCTTGGATTGAATTTCCCCACCATACAGGATTCGTAGCTGGAACACCGGTAAACCCCATGATTCAACTGCAGGGGGTCAAGAGCAGCGGTGGAGAGCAACGCTTTGGTTTCCCGCATGCCCTCCCCACGTTACCTGACTTACATCCAGCAAGCTGATTCTCGTGAACATATTAACATATGCGTGTGAAAAACGGTTTCACCAATATAGCCAGAGATCGGATTGCATGTCCCGCCAAACTTGCTTGTTGGGCTGCCTCAGTTAAGGGATGATTTAGGTATCACTCTCATAGGTACCGCCCTGCGCCTGCTATAAGTGAGGGCCTACCTGCTTACGACCCCTCTTGATGCGGGCAGTAGGACTAGCTTCAGTATTGGCATACGTGGGCTGCATGCGTGCCATGGGTTGAGAACCAACCGTGGGTTTTGATTGGTGCCCTCCTATGTTAGGTTTGCTTGCTTCGGATTTTGCCCAAGCCCTTAGGACGGACTGGTTCCTGGAGGATGGCAAGGAGGGCAACGGGAAGCGGCCCTCCACTCGCACCTCCGAGACCGCGGTCTTTGCCATGGCCGAAGACGATTCCTGAGCCCAATCGAAGGGGCCGTGGTTGCATTCGGCGCGCCGTCCACGAGCCGTCCGCGAGCCTTCAAAGAGAACCAGCACCCTTTGTGATTCCGCTTATGTGTTGCCTGAAGCCAACTCTTCATGGAACTCGTGGAGTTGATGTTGGCTTTGGGACCCGGTCTTTTGTTCACCATCTTCCGCGCGTTACCTTCCCATACCTTGCCTTTAGGACGAATAAAGATGCTGCCGTTTTGCCATCATGTTGGCATAGGGCAGACATGCTTATGACGCAACATGCTTGAAACCTGTAAGCTCTACCCTCCAAGCTTCCCCAGCTTCCCCACAAACCAACAACATATGACGGACCCTTCACACAAACAGGGTTACACCAAGCAATTCTGGATGTCAAAGGTCCTTTGCTTGGCGTCCCTCAGAACTTGGCGGCTTCAGCTTGTGCTGATAGGAGAGTTCCCAAAAGATAGCACGAGTCGCACGCAGCCAATAATTTGATTGCTCCCGATTGAACCATTGTTGCACGCCTTCAACCTGAACACAGCTCACGGGCACGTGCACTGCGTAAGGCTCAGTATAGGGTCCCTGCTCTTTTTCCAACAAACATGGAAGTGGAAGTGGTCCCTACCAGCGGATGTGTTTGCTCCCATTGTTGGAAAGAGGGTAGCAAATGTCTGCATCTCCTTGCGGTTCAAGTTCCTTTTCAAACTCGGGCCCCTGGACTTCGTGGTTTAGCCCCGAAATTCGGGGCTTGCTGAAAGCAAGCCCCAAGCATCCGGGTGGAATGGGCGAGGCGAGTCGGGTTATTCCCGGCGAATGGCAGTTTTTTCCAACGAGACATAGCATGGTCGTGGGACATGTGGTTCTGAGACTTAGGCCTGTGATAAGGGAGGCTTAATTGATAAAGTAGTTCTACAGCAACCAGTAGTGGGGATGGACAACTTTGGTATCACAGACTGCGTTTATTGTCGCCAACCATGAAACGTAGTGCAGAATCAGGAGGGCACAGTTCACAGTTCTGGCAGAAATCGGCTTGGTGAACAGGTTGGGATTCGATGTGTGATCATAGGTGTCCTTTTTGGTTGATTTGGTTGAACATAGAGGGCGATTCCTCCATCAACTACCAGGGCCATCTATTTTCCCAAAAAGGACACCTATGCAGAGGGATGTGGCCATTTTTTGGGAGTTGGAAGCCCCAACCTGGCTGGTTTGGGAAAGTGAACAAGGAAAACCAAAGAGGGCAGAGAGCCAAAAAGGACAACTATGTGTGTGTGTGTGTGACTTTTTTCGGCTTCCTCTTCACCAGCTTGAGACTCATTTCAGCCATGGACATGGCGCGTTGGCCCTGCGTGTCTGGGATCTGATTGGAATCAGGCGAAGGATCACCCGATGTGGGCCACTTCCGAGATTCGACTTGAGTCACTTCTTGGGTTTGGAGCAACTCTGTGTCAATGCGCTTAGGCTTGATGATTTTGGGGTGCTTTCTGCCCATCCTCAACAAATGTTGCTTCGCCTGTCCTCAGTGTCACTCGAGAAGTGAGGTTGTGGCCAGAAGTTCAGGGCTTCCTTTTGGGGCCGAAGCTGAGGTAGTCGGGTCTTGACCTGTCCATCCCCATGGTTTGTAAGGCAATGTCCAGATTCTTCAAAACACGGAACCGCCTGAAAAAAGTGGTTGGACATGAGCCCCCACCGGAAGAAATGCCCGCCAGAGGGTCTCCCCAGTGAAAAAAACACACTACAGTTGGGGCACGCTTGCTTTCCTTCTCTCTCTCTCTCTCTCTCTATCTCTCCTCCCTTCGTCCAGCTCACGAAAGTGCAAAACGCAGAAAACCATTTCATTTGGGCCCGGAGGGTCGCCTTTCAATGGTTTACGCAAGCTGAAAGATGTAAACATCTACACGTCTTTCGGGAATCGACCTCCCAAAAGTCCAAGGGTTGCGGGAGCGAAGTGATCGTGCAAACTCACGAGTTTCTGAGGCTCCGCGCGGCTTCCAGTAGGATTCTAGCGGCTTCCAAACAAACAGGCAAAATTTGGTGAGGCACCATAGGCACCATACAGTGAGGCATGCGGCAGTTCTTTAGTGACAGAGGTCCAGAGGGTTCACGCCGCGCAGCTTCCAAGACAGTTCCGAGGCGACAGAAGTGCCGCACGCGCAGTAACCCCCATCCCCCATGTCTCGCGTTTTCCAGTTTTTGTTTCGCAGCTTTTTTCATGCGCAGTACATTTAGTCTTAAGCACTTGCGCGCAAGTGCATGCTTTCTTAGAGAAGCAGAGAGAGAGAGAGAGAGAGAGAGAGAGAGTTATCTCAATTAGTTCCAGTACTACGGAATTTCCTAAACGTCCTTGGACTATTTGATTAGATCATCTGCTTGGAGGGCCTGAGACACCTCGCCCGACTCGCCCGACTCGCCCGACTCGCCCGCCAGCCTGGACGCAGGCGCGCCTCGCGCGTAAGGCGCCCTGCAACGCTAACGTTCCAGCGAGCAGCGGCCCGATTTCACCATGTCCCCATTGATTATTCTGGGTGAATTATGGACCGACCTCACACGACCTCACCCCAAATGGTGGTTTATGCGGGGAATAGCCCCCAAACCACTGAGATGTTGTCCCACAACAGGGATGGGCAACAAGTCACGACAATGAGCTTATTCGCCTTTTTGTGTGGGGCCTGCTCGTCCTGCTTCCCTCCCAGACCCTAGAGCAAAGGGAGGCAACGTCGGGATCTTGTGAAGCTCATATTGGACCGCTGCTCAAATTCCTTTCGCCCCGTTGCGGGGACCAGAGTGGCCGCTTGATGGCATAGATTTTCTCCACCAAGCCTTCAATCGTGCTCGCTAAATCAGAGAACCCTTACAGGAGGCCCACGAAACCAACGCGAGCAGAACACGCGAGGTGAGTTGGAGTTGACGTATTTGGTTCCGACCATTTGGTGGGCTGCAAAAACACATTTTTCAACAGGAGCTCTGCGGCTTTGCAGGCTCCATAGGAACTAAGACAACACGTGTCGAAGGCTAAGAACACGCGCCCCCAATTGACATCAGGACCCGAGGCAAATGTGTAAAGTAAGCCAATGTGAGAAGCCAATGTGCAGCATTTTGAAGGAGGCAAATGCTATGAGGTAAGCCGATTGGGTAAGTGGCTTCTGTCACTGGGAAACCCTGTTCCCAATGACGTGACAAAGCCACACGTCTACTTTTGTCCGCTTTCTGCATGCTGGGTCTTTAGTGGAGGCTGGATGCAAATCACAAGTGAAAGCCATTTTGAAGAACCCTGATACTTGACAAGAAAGTGGACACTTGAGGTTCGGTCGAAACATGTAGTCTATGGACATGGCTTCCTTAACCTTGACAAGTCAATAGGGCATATAGGTTCCTTTCGGAAGCCGGACGGGATGGGTATTACGTCATTGTTCGAAGCTGGACTCATTGAATTCAACTGTTTCAAAGTCCCTGCTCAATCAACAGCTTGGGACATGTCACCGGACAGTCTCAGTGCCAAACACCATGGTTCGGAGTTTTGCGGGCAGTGTTGGGCATGTCAGATGGGAAGATTCTCTCAGTGTGAAGCACCAACATGCTGGCCAGTTCGACACGGCTTGTTCAAAGCCGAACTTGAAATCTCTTCGTCGCAGAAGTCGCTGTGTCGGGTCCAAGACGGCACCTATTGAAACCCAGGTTGAGTACTAGGTTGTTGCCCCCTTTGGGAGCTCGGTATTTTGAGGGGAAGCACCGCCCCGTGATTTTGTTTTTCGGATGATTAATCTAGGGGCGACAGTGGGGGGTCATTGCAGTGAGAGACATCTAAGGGAGTAGGCCAGCCCAAGCAGGGAGCTAAGGGACATGATTCCTTGACACATGCGTCAGCCTTTTTCTGGGTGTTTTTTTTTTTTTTTTTATTAATGGGAACACAAACGGAGAACCGGAGCCATTCGCGGGGTCGATGTTAAGACACCGAAATCTCGGTTTGCCTTCGGCAACGAGCCTTGGCCGCTTGCGTGGCCGCTAGCCGGGCCTTCACAGAAGATGCCCGCCTATGGTTGTGGAACCTTCGCTGGTTGTCTCCTCCAAAACAATTTCTGTTTTCAGGTAGTCTAAATATTCAGGTAACCCTTAGTTGCTGCTTGGGATTGGTGGTTTCAGGGTTTCCCTCTGCCAAGTGGATGGACGAAATCCATGCCAGGCACCTGTTGGGATGGATGAAGTCCGGTGAATCTTGGGAGAACTCACCCAGCTGGTGCAGGATTTTGTCCACGGCTATGAACACTATGTTGGCTCTGTTTTCGGCTGGTTCGGTGAGCCAACCCAGAAAGTGTTGAAGGTTGCCCAGCGTCGCCCAACTTACTTTAGGCCATGTTTCGTGGTCTGTTTGAGGAAGCCTACGGGCTTGACAAGTGGCATTGGGCACTTGACATGTTTGAGTGGACGGGATGTCCGACCTCCGAGTCTGAAAGCGACAGAGTTTTCCACCAGTGGGGCCCACCTGCCGGGCGAGTGAAGTCACGGAGACGCCTTGGCATCACAACCATGCGCTCAGCTTAGGGCGGTCAGCTCTGGTGCAAAACAGGAAAGGCGTGCGCAGCTTGGGGTTGCTTTGCACACATGGTGACTGAAAAGGTACCCGTGGGTCGGTTTGGAGGCGTCCTTCCTTCAAGAAATAAATCCAGAGTGCATGGTGCACCTTCTATGCTTCATTGTGCTCATGTTGGTGCTCGTGTTGGGGGCACCTGGGATTGCTGTGGCTGGTTCTCTTGAACTTCTTCGAGGGTACTTTTGGGGGTGGTTTCATCATTTCGACAGGGATGTTGAGGATCAAGCTTCGGTGATCGGAGCAGGGTGTTTTTGCTGCAGACACATATTCTTTGGTGCATGTTGCTTGGATGTTAGGACTATAACCTTTTGCCAACTAATGGGTTTTCCATTAAGCCACTAAAAGTTAAACTTTTAGCTGGGAAGCAGAAAGCAACCGTGTATTTGTCGTTTTTCCTCTTGGGCACATCCATGAATCATTCTTTACCAAACTAACCGAACCAAAAAGCCCTGGTCAGAAGTATTCTCATTATAAACCGAGCGCTGAAGTCAAA